AATTTCTAGCTCATTTCCCTAAACCATAACCTATTTTCCACTTTTCGTGTCCACATCGCAAAACCGAGAGAAAATGATTTTATGGCTATAAAATTTTGATCCAATTATTAATTGTTTTGGATAGGCCTTTAAATAAGATTTCCAACCATATATCATAAGCACAATTCCGAGCTATAACGAAAAAGATATGAGCAAAACACTAAACTCGGCCTAAAATCGACACCCTTTCACTAAAACGGCCATATCTTAAAATATACAAATTATTTTACTTGATTCTAATTGGGTTGGAAAATATACTTGATAAGATTTCCAATGATATATTATATGCCTTATTCCGAGTTACGGATCAAAAGTTATGATTATTTTAAAAACGGGTAAAAAACAGAAATTACCGCGCAACAGCTAAAATGCCGCGACGCGGGAAATGCTAATGTGTCACGGGGCTTATTCCCATGACACGGTGCCCTTTTTGTGTAATTCTACACAATTTTCTCTCGTGTCACGGGATTTTACACCGTGTCACGGTGCCCATTCTGCGACACGGGGATATTCCGTGTAATTTCCGCGTACTTTCTACACCGTGACACGGCATACTGCACTGTGCCACGGTGGACAATGCTGTGTCACGGCATGTCTTCCCGTGACACGGGATTGCTCCGTGTTTTCTCCGCGTAATCCCTAAACCCGTTTTCACTTCCCGTAACCTAATTATTTCCCGCGTCACTCAGTTTTCCCCCGTCTGACGGTGCCTGGAACCGTGTCACGGTGCTCTTTTCCATGACACGGTGTTATTTTTTTAGGGTTTTAACTTTTTAGGGTTTCGCGTGTTCCCTCTGCTCATTTTCCCTATAAATAGGACCTCCCTTTCTGCAGTTCGGGGCACCAATAATCATTCTCTCTCATCTTACACCAAAAACCATTCTCTTCTCCCTCTTTAACCTAATTTCTAGCCTCCTTATTCTTCCATAATAATTCCCCTAAGCGCTCCAAAGAGTTTATACTTAACCCGAGGTTCCGTTTTTAAACCAAGGCGTGAAAGGTACAAATAACTAAGGGTTTGGACCAAATCAACTCTACTTTTTATTTAATTTAATTTAATTTTTATTTACTTTATATTTTTTTATTGAAGTTACTAACAGTTTATTCATGATGTAGCAATTTAAAGGACCGTGCGGAATGTGAGTAATTAATTAATTTAATTACTCTTATTTTATTTTAATATTGCTAGTATCATGATTAGGGTTATTTTATATTTGATTTGACTAACGCTATTATTGTTAAATTGCTTCCAATATTAATGTGTATTCTATTGTTATTATTGATCACTATATTGCATGTTTAAAGGGAATATGTAATTGAAAATCACGCCTAATATATAAGATAATTTGGACAACTGGTTTAGGTTCCTTTTAATCTTGTTATTAAATCAAGTGATCGCAATATATTAGAATTATATGTTGCATTAATATTCAACCAATTTAGCTTAATAATAGTTTGGAGCAAATTGAATCTCTGTTTGTATGCCTTTGAGATCGCAGGAATCATTTTTCGCTATAAGAATCGAGTAGAGGCCAATACGGGCGAATGTGACTCCATGACTCACTTCGTACCATCATCCCGATCCTCCTTTTGTGGTTCCGAACCATATGGAGTTAGTAATCTCATGGATTATGAATGGGGTGTAACCTTCACGGGCCAATCGTTGTTGCCTATCATTGTCCCTTTATCGTGGTTGCCTTAAATGATCCGTGAACGGTTTACAAGTTCCTAAAAAACTTGTTGGCGGCTTCCTACTTTCCTTGTCCCTAATCGTATTATGTCAATTCCCACTTCCTATGAGTGCCAAGCATATTCACAACATGCTTAACGTAGGCACTTCGAGCGACGCCTACAGTTGGCAATAAGGGAAATTGAAATTCTCATGAATTTCGGTTTACCTGGGGGGGGGGCTAGGTAATTTACTTCCTTTGTTTTGTGGGAAGTTGATATTCTCATGAATTCCCACTTCCCCATTTTTGCTTTTTTTTTTTTTTTTATGTCAACCAAACAACTACTCATTTTATCACTTCACGTGAATTTCCAATTCCTCCATTTTACAATGTTAACCAAAAAAGGCCTTAGAGAGAGAAAGTTGTGATGTTTAGTAAGAGAGTGAAGAAGAATGAACAGGGAAGAAGAAGAATGAAAGCGGCGCTTTTTTATTTTTGGCGGGCCCCACAAGTTAACCCAAGGTACTCAATTTTTGCTATATTAGAGTGAAAATATAATTGTGTGGCTTGCCTTCTCATTAATCGTTCATGAAAATATATAGAGTTACAACCAATAACCCTAGAATAACATATAATTCTAGGAGAATATAAAGTTAACTAAATATGCATGAGATAATATTCTACCAAATCAAATAATATTCCATCATATCTCAATACCCCCCCCTCAAGTTGGAGCATGCGGATCATGAATGCCCAACTTGGAACGAAGAAACTCAAACTGTGCTTTTCAAAGTGCCTTTGTGAAAATATCCGCCATTGATAAGACGTTGAAACATAAGAAGGAGAAATCAACCCTTCAAGTAATTGCATCACGAACAAAGTGGCAATCAACCTCAATGTCCTTCGTTCTTTCATGGAACACCGGATTTTTAGCAAGATGGAGAGTCGACTAATTGTCACAAAATAAGTTAATTACCTTTGGATGTTGAACACCAAGACTTAATAACAATGATTTAAGCCACTTTAGCTCACAAGTAGCGTTGTACATGGACCTGTATTCATCTTCTGAAGATGATGTAGAAACAGTGGGTTGCTTCTTGGTTTTCCACGAGATGGGTGAATTGCCAAGAAACACCAACCAACCAGATAAAGAACGATGAGTGAGAGGACATGCGGCCCAGTCTGAATCACACCAACCCTGTAAAGTCAAGTCACAATCAGAGCTTAATAAAATACCTTGTCCTGGATTGCCCTTCAAATAACGAATCACCCTCAACGCAGCGACCCAATGCTCACGACGAGGCTCTTGCATAAACTGGGACATCAAATGTATTGAGTATGCCAAATCAGGTCGAGTAACGGCTAGATAAATCAAACGGCCTATGAGTCGTCGGTATGTCTCTGGATCGGATAGAAATTCACTAGTAGCTAGACCCAACTTGTGATTCTGTTCCATGGGAAACTCACTAGGCTTTGCACCCAAAAGACCTGCTTGGGAAATAATATCTAATGTATATTTTTGTTGACATAAAAACAAACCCGTAGAGCTACGAGCCACCTAAATGCCCAAAAAATATTTCAAAGGACCAAGGTCCTTCATCTTGAAGAAATCACTAAGATAAGCCTTAAACACAGTTAATGCAGCGGAAACATTCCCACAAATAATTAAATCATCAACATAAACTAAGACAGTAATCTGAACTTTGCCTGTAGTATATGTGAACAAAGAGTAATCAGAGTAAGATTGTTTGAAACCATACTGTTTTAAAGTCGAGGTAAGCTTTGCAAACCAAAATCGAGGAGCTTGTTTCAAGCCATAGAGCGATTTTTGAAGTCTGCAAACCAAGGAAGGATCTGAGCTTTCAAAACCCGATGGCAATTTCATGTATACTTCCTCACCTAGATCACCATGTAAGAAAGCATTGTGGACCTCCATTTGATGTAGCTCCCAATTTTTTGCAGCCGCAATAGCTAGTACTGTTCGAATCGTTGTCATTTTTGCAACCGGAGCAAAGGTTTCTTCATAATCTACCATTTGCAACAAAATAATCTTTCAAACAATTAAATTATGTTCCATCATCACTTTGCACAGTTTTAATTGTTTTATTAAATTGTCTATCGACCATAGCAACAAACGCCATAAACATCTGAAAAACTTTTGTCTTATCAAGCATCAAATAAATCCAAACAGCCCGGGAATAATCATCAACAATGGTAAAAAAATAACGAGCATCACACGATGAAACATGTCGATATGGACCCCACAAATCACAATGTATTTTTAAAAAAATTCTAGTAGAATTATTTTCACTTAGAGGGAATTCGTCTCTAGGTTGTTGAGCACGAAAACATACTTCACATCCTTTAGATAAACCACTTTTATTTTTGCTAATATGAGGAAGCAACTTAACTACTTTCTTCAAAGGATGCCCCATTCTTCTGTGTCAGAGCTCCAATTCTGATGTAGCTTCAACCGTAGACACGCGTTGCACATTATCCAGTTTGCTAAAATAATATAGTATGTCTCGCCAAAGCCTCGTTCCAATCAGCTGCTTCAGTCGGTCCTGTATAGCACACATATATGAGTTAAATTGAACAACAACATTTAATTGATCACTAAGTTGAGTAACAAAGATTAAATTGCAATGAAGATGAGGCACAAAAAGAAATCCTGTGATTGTGATTTTATCAAACAAATGAACGAAACCCTCCAAGGTAGCAAATACACGTTCACTTTGGTAAGCCAACCGGACATTCGATGATGTGTGTGTCAAACATCCAAGAACTATTACCGGTAACATGATGGGTTGCTCTGGTATCAATAATCCAACCCGAATTATCAAATTTATCATGGAGTCGATTTTCGGGCTCCTTCCATTGTGCCGAACCTAGGAGAAAAGTCGAAATATTATGACCCGGTAGTGTTTGATCATCACCGGCCATGGGAAATTAAAAAAATCAACCTGCTCTTGATACCATGCTAAATTAGAGAGAAAATATAATTGTGTGGCTTGCCTTCTCATTAATTGTTCATGAAAATAGATAGAGTTACAACCTCTAACCTTGGAATGAAAGATAATTCTAGGAGAATATAAAGTTATCTAAAATATACATGAGATAATATTCTACCAAATCAAATAATATTCCATCATATCTCAATAATTTTAACCAAAGGTACTCAATTGTTTGGGCTGATTTAATTTTTTTGGTCGGAATTTTGGTCAGAGTACCCAAAGGGTGAAAAAAAAATTGTGTACTCAAAATGTGAAAAAATCAACAATTGAGGGCCCATAATGTTAATCCACATGATCAATGTTAATTAACCTCCTTTGACCATTGAAGCTATAGTCAACATTTTACAAACATGCATAGGTATGTGGCCATGCTTACATTGATGAGCTCAATCATGATACCACTCTTATTTAGTTTTAAACTTGATGCAAACAACAATAACTACTGAAGCAAAGCAAGCAACTTCAATTCTTACACATATCAATATATCCTTACCGGAAATAATTACACGCTAAAAGGCAGAACATGATCACATATAATTTAAACACATAATGAACAAGATAGACTTCATGAATATTGAATAGGAAGTGTCGCACCAAAACAGCGTTTCACTTTCTATCCTTATTCGATGACATTTTTCTCTACTTCTTTACACCATGGTGATGATCGTCGATGTCTTTGGCTGCACCAAGCAAAGAATCGAGCAACGCGGTTGGTTCGGGGATACCAGGGTGCAATTTCTCGTACTCGATAATCCACTTTACTATGCAAGTATCATTGTCCTTAGGTATCACCTGGCATGTTCCAACAATGGTCTTATACTCCTCCAAGACATCACCTTCAATACATCGTTGCCTCACCAACTTTTTCTCCTTGTCAATTTCTTCGATTATATTCTTTGCTACAAGTGGTTTTCCACCTATATATGAACATAAAAAGACGTACTAATTGAATAAGTTTAGGATACATATGACCACGATTCCTAAAAAAGAGTTAAAACTGTTGAGGTTACTGAAATGAATAATGTATTACTCCCTCCATCTTTTCTAAGTGACACACTTTTCTTAAACGACCGTTTTTTTTTAAGTAACACACTTCCTCTTTTAGAAATTCCTTATTTTTTAATAATATATCTTCACCCCACTATCTCTTACTTTATCATTTCTCACTCCTTTCATGGTCCCCACTTCCTCTCACATTTTTTTACTTTATCAGTTCTCACTCTTCTAACCTACCCCACTTAAAATCTCCTAAAACTACGTGTCGGTCAAATCGTGTCACTTAAAAAAAACGAAGGGAGTAATTGAAACTAATACTCCCTCCGTGTTTTTTCTAAGTGATACATTTTCCATTTCCGGCCGTGTTTTTTTAAGTGATACATTTCCTTTTTTGGCAAAACAATACATTAAAATATTATATCTCTCTCCTCTCATGGCCCCCACCCAAACCCACTACTACTTTTTTATTATATCTTTCCTCTCACATTCATTACTTTTCAATAAACTATTAACCCCACTATCTTTCTTTAACAATTTTTTAATACTCCACTACCCCACTTACCTCTTATTTTATTTAAGTTAATTAAATTGCTTAAAACTATGTGCCGGTCAATATGTATCACTTAAAAATCACGGAGGGAGTAAGTTTGATCGGTGCTGAAATAAATAAGGTAACTAATTATATAAGATGTTTGGTAGCATTAATTTTCTTATTAAAACTTCTCTAATAGCTAATTTTTGTTCCTACTCAAAACAACAATTTCAATCAAATAAAATTGTAAACACATACGAAGGATGACAAATCGAGAATATATAGCTAGGTAATACTCCCTCCGTTTTTAAATACTTGCTCCATTTCTCCATGCGCGTAGTTTTAGGAGAAATTGGAGAAAGTAATAAAATATGGAGGTAGTGGGGTGGATAGAAGAATAAAAAATTATATAAATTAAAAGTAGTGGAGAGAATTGGAGGAGAGAAAATATATGTTGGGTTCACTAGGTGAGAGAAATTAATTTAATATTGTAAAAACTTTCCAAATAAGGAAATGGAACAAGTATTTAAAAAACAGGTCGAAAAAGAAAAGTGGAGCAAGTATTTAAAAACGGAGGGAGTATTAAGTACTCCGTATATAATTACGACAATACATTATACATACCTGTTTTGTACTTCCAAACGATGATAGAGCCAGGCTTACCAAGTTCGCCCTCATGCAAGTCACAACTTTGGATAAAATGGGGTGCGGCATGAGATACTTGATGAGGTTTACTCTCGTATATCTCATGGTACACATCTCCAGCTCCAGCTCTAATCTCAATTTCACCCTCAATTTTACGTTTAAGACCCATAATTATTGTTATTTTTATAATTATATGTTATTTGCTATTATTACTTTCTCATTTTTATAGGGAACGGACCAGTGCATGCGCAATTTAATTAGATGACCCGGTTTGCAATTTTTTACATGAATAATCACGTGAATTAGGCTTTCTTGAAATAATTATATTTTATTTGTTCCATCATTATTCTTTTGATAATTAGATTTTAGTCATCATCATTAGATATTATAGATATCTTTTTTTGACATTTTTCACCTAAATAAACTATTAATGCTGTCATTATGTACCTAATTCAGCACTTATGTGTGCTAATATTATGAATGTTGTTATCTTTATTTTTATTTTTTTAGAGGATTTTTCCTGTGTGGCTGATCACACCGTGTGATCGAGGTTACTCAAATTACTCAATCAGGGAGGTTACTCTTTTTTTTTTTGACAGAGGGGGGTTACTCAAATTACTCAATCAGGGGTTACTCGAGTTACTCGGTCAGGGGTTACTCGAGTTAATCCTGACCGACTAACCTCAGACCGGGTAACCCTAGACAGAGTAACCCTTCCATTAACCCCTGACCGAGTAACCCCACAAGTAACCCATGACCGAGATCCTTCAAGTAACTCATGATTAAGTAACCCCTGATCGAGCCCCTCAAATAAACCCTGACCGAGTAATTTGAGTGACCCCTAACCGAACCAAAAATTTAAAACTGAATTAGTTGCGCGCGGCAGCCTTGCGCGACTGTTTGAGAAGCGCGCGGCTTTTTTTGTGGCAGCATTAAAATTTAACCTAGGCGCTCCTAAATCCGTCATTATTGGGTTTTAAGCACATGTTTAAGCCTAATTATGATCGGTTTAGTTAATTGGACCTTTGTTCTGGCTTTTATCTTTAATTCGGGCTATTCTTTTGTGTTTTGTGGCTTAACTAGTTCTCCATAAGTATTCTTCACTTCAATCCAACACGAAGATGGTTTTATTTATCGTCATTGCACTTCCTGTCAGGACAGGATGCCAAAAGTAGATGTCTACAAAATGTCTCCTCGGCAACGGTGCCAAAATTTTAAGTGTTATGCACTTTACCCAATCACACGGTAAAGTTCATAACACTTGGAGGGATATTAAAAAAAATATATACCATTCAAAGTGTTCAGATTTTTTCGAACATTACGAAAAAACTCTTCACACTGGGGGGTGTGTAATAATATGATTAAAAAATAAAAAATTTAACACTCGTAGCATAGGTGTCGCAAGCAGCTAAATCAGTTGTGCACAGATCACATCCGTGCAACAAAATTAGATGCGCGCAACAAGCACGCGCAACCTTGGATGTTGTGCGCGCCACCTGATGACGAACTACGAACCTAGAATTTTACGCCACCTGATGACGAGCGATAAAATAAAGGCGTTTCTCTAACATCATATATACTCGAAAAACAATAATTAAACTTTGAATTAAGTCATTAAATAATGTTTGATTAATTTTTCATTTAATTTTTACAAGAGGAATTAAAGAAAAAATCACAAAAAAATAGAAATAATGAATAAATAATTTTTGCAAAGAACGAACACGTTGGCAATCTTTATGATTCGGTTATATAAAAAAAAGAAAGCTCATTTTTTATTCCAATCAATATTTAAGAAAACACTATTGAACTAGATAATAAGTAATTAATTAAAAAAAACATAGTAGTGATTACACTTTATTCAAAATTAAACTACTAATAATTGTGTAACACTATAAGATTTTACTATTGTAGGGAATATTTCAAGCATTACCCCAAACTTGAACCCTACTGTGATCATACACTTAAGCATGGTGGCGTCCAAAGGGAAGGAAGCTAGAGCAAAAGAGTCGCCAACAAGTTTTAGGAACTTGTAAACCGTTCACAGGGTGAAGGTTACACCCCTTAACGATCCAGGAGATCGTTAACTCCAATAGGTCTGGAACCATGACTGGAAGTTCGGGGATGAAGGTACAAATCCAACCTAAAAGAGATTGAATCTACCCTAATAATAGGCCTCTACTTTATTCTTCTCGTATTCATGTGCGCTTTCTGACTAACATGCAATCAATAGGTTTACCCTAAACCTGTTTAACCTATGTTGGTTGAATATTAATGCACAACAAAACTATTATTGGCGATCACTTGAATTATAATCAAATTAACCCTAAACAAGATTATTAATTATCTTATTTAAGCGTGATTACAAGTACCAATTCCCTTTAACATGCATAAAAGGTGTGATGAAGCAATAACAATAAATATATATCAAGCAACATGATAATCATAATAAAATAACAATATTAGCAAGAATCATAATCATGTTAAAGCATAATATTAATAGCAAGATCCTAAGCATGATACTAACAAGATTAATAACAAACCCTAGCATGTCACTAAACAATAAAAATCAAAGCTTTAACCCTAACATAATACTAACATGCTATTAGGAAAGAGAATAAAAAGCATCATAGAAATCATAATTGATATAAAGAACTTATTGTTGTCACCCTAAACATAATACTAGGAAGAGAATCCTAAACATGATACTAGGAAACAATAAAACATCCTAAACATGAATTCTATATCATAATAACAATTAAAGCACTTACTTGGATGCCTCGTACCTCTTTCTAATAACAAAATACACACGTTAGTAACTTCAAGAAAAATAATAAAATCAAACAAATTAAATTAAATAATTGAAAGAAAGATTAAGAAAGTTTAGACTAGATTTGGGACCAAACCCTAAGAAATATCAAACCTTTCACGTCTAGGGCGAATGCAACTTCGAATTATGCTAGGTGTATCTAGATCTTGTGAATGCAGAATTTTGTTTGTAAAAGGATGTTTAGAAAGAGAGAGAGAGTATCAAGAAATTCTTGATGAGAGTTGATGATTTAAAAAAGGGGAGATATGAGCTCTATTTATAGAGAAAAAAGAGGGTCGAAGAATAAGAAAAGAATCCAATTCGAATCGAAATAAAACTCGATGGATAGCAGTTTTTGCGGATTTTGTTTTTATCATATCTTTTGATCCAGAAGTCCAAATAAGGCATATAATATGTCGTTGGAAAGCTCTTGAAGTCTTATTTTCAACCCAATTAAAATCAAATTAAAATATTTGGTAGATAAAAATATATGTCCAAAATAATAGGACAATGTCAGTTTTGGATAGAGTTTCGTATCTCATTCATATCTTTTTCGTATAGCTCGGAATTAATATTATAATATATCATTGGAAAGATAATTTCAAGATCTATCCAACCATATAAAATTTGGATAAATATTATGAGGTATAAAAAGAATATTTGACTGTCTTTGAACATGTTTAAATTCGAATAGGATTAGGATTAAAAAAAAAAGGAAAGTTTTTATAAAAGGAAAATTTTTATTTAACTCAAATTCTTTAATCTTATCTTTTCAAATAGGATAATTAAGATCTATTAGAAACTTATAGAAGCTTCTAATTAATTCTAATTAGTTTAGGAATAGGATTAGACCTTTAGACCCTCCACATGATCATTGGGTTGTAGGTAAAAATCGGTTTGGGCTCAACTTAGTATTTTGTCCATAATTTCCTCATTATTCATCGGAATTGGGCTTATAATATATCGTTGGAAAAATCTTTTCAAGCCCCATCAAACTACACCATTATTGGACCCATATCATGGACCAAACTAAACTGTAATTCACGTTTTTCATAAATAGGGTAAGAAAAGAAATATTTTCAAAAACGAAAAGAAGAGATATTTTAATAAAAACATCCTCATCACTAGACTTTTCACACTTTCGCCTCGTTCAATAATCAAATTACATGAAAGGTATTCTTCACTAGGTTTGGTTTTGGGGACACATATTTGGGTGTCTACAACTATATCCTCAATTGTCACAGTAGACGGTGGAGTAGTTTCCATCGCAGTACCTTCAGCAACCTTCGAGCTTTCCCCTTTGCCTTTCTTCTTGACCCAAACATTGTTCTTCAACTTAGTAATAGGAGCCTTTTCTACTCTTTTTCCTTTACCCTTAGCATTTGTTGGAGCTTTTTGCGAGAATTTGGTGAAGGTTCCTTAATCTTCACACCTTGTTGCGCAGGTTTAGGAGGAGCCTTTCTTTTTGGTTCCCTTGAACGAGCCTTAGGTGATGACGAGAAGTCTAACTTTCTTCTCACTCCTTTATTTTGGCCATTAGGAGGAGTAGTGGTGGTCGAATGCATCAAAGGCTTGGGTGGATAGCGAGATGAGGTGGCTTGATTTCGTGATCGAGCCTTATTTAATTCTCCTTTGTCTGCCACGTACATCCAAGCCTTATAAAAAAAGAAGATAGTACAATGCTTGCCGTGGGATTTTGCACTACCCACCTAGGAAGAATCGACTAATATTCCATCCAACGGGGAATTCGTTTGGGTTTAAAGATAACATCCTTAGGGGCATCACAATCCTGTGGGTTGTTGTCTCATCACTCTACAAGGAAATATGTAAGTAGTACTAGAAAGGCCCAAAAGCCTAATGTAGGGGCAGTTAAAACTATTTCCAATCATACTACTTATGTTCCACCAAGGAATCACAAAGCGTATGTTAGGAGTTCCATGACAGAAAAACGACGTCCATTCTTCTTCATTCTTATGTTTCTAGAGAATTCGACGACCAAGGAATGTCCTCACTCCGTTAGCCTCAAGATTTTGTGGGCTCATCAACGATTTACAAGCACTCCATGAGCCAAATCTAAAAAAAAAAAATTAATTTGCGACGTTACACAAGCAGGTGGCTGGCACTGAAATACAACGGAAAAAAACGTACGTGTATCAGAAGTTGTTTTTCGGTGAAACCGTTCTCGTTAGGGTCTCCTCTAAGGCAATTCAAGCAAAGAGCAGTTTCCGCCAAGGTTAAAAGAGCAGGTGAGTGACACCCCTCTATTTGCTCCACTATGGACACCATGGAGTCATACTCTTTACCTGTCCTAAAGCAAACAATTGACAACAAGACAAAAACATAAAGCACGAATTTTAAAACGTTGTTTAGTCAAGTTGTCACGAGGGGCGACGAAGTGTTCAATAAATTGAATTAATTTCACTCCTTCTTCTATTTCAATATTGACCATAACATTGTCATTCAAACAAAATAATATCTAAAACATAGATTTGGAATATGACAAGTTAGGGGAATATGTCACGGGGAGTGTGTTTGCAAGGAAGCCTAGTAAAGCCTCGAACTCGCCAAGTAACGTGACAATTTCATCCCCTTAAAAGACACTACTACAATACCCATGTAATCTCGACACTATAGCCTTGACACAATGGACAACCGTCAAGGGTAAAATATAGTTCGCGCCTCACCTCGATGGTTTTTAGTGTTACAAGTGTCGAAATTATTATGTGGCCGGTGGCCCCCATGTGATGAAAAGAGGACCAGTAGTTTCAAGCCCGCGAAATGAAATTTTAGGCTGAAATTAAAGGCGGTCATTTTAAAGTTAAAAAAAAAAACAAAAAAAAAAAAAATTAAAACAAAACCCATGTACAGTACTACTACTAGAGTACCAAAGCGATTAGTTTCCTCTCTTCGATCTTATTAGCTTTTGAACCCTAACATTACCCCTCTTTTGATTTTGTTATTCACATCTCAAAAACAATTGCTTCTCAATCGCTCATCATCCAAGATCCGATTTTTGAAGGTATGTTTTGTTTTTTTTTAAATCACCGTGTAAATTTTTTTAGGGTTTTATTTGTGATTAGTTTTAATTATGAAATTTGTTGTTATAGATGAGTTTGAATATGATTGAATTATGAATTACATTTACAAATTAGCTAAAGATTTAGATTTGTACCATCCCTTTAATTTTTCAGTAATTTGTTTTCTTAATTTTTTTCAATTATGAATTGTCATTTACGAAGATGAAATCAACAATTGCTCTTCTTTATTTTTCCAGTTTTTTTGTCTAAATTCCACTCTAAATTATCTTTTATCAGTTTGCATGTAGTGTAAATTGCTATTCAAATACTTGTTTATCAATTTCAAATTTCTTGACCAATAATCAATTATTAGTTAATTGCATGTTTTTTTTTTAATATCAATCCATTACTGGTGATGTATGTTGCTTAAAATTCTTTCTCAATCTTTAAGTGTCCAGAGAAGTTCATTTCTTACTCGTATAAATTTTAGAGTGATTTGCTTCTGCCTAAAATGAATAATAATGTGGTTGTAATGAAATTAAATAGGTCAAATCATTTTAGTTGTTAGTAGAAATTGTAATTAAATAGACGAGGTTATTGAATCAGTCTAAGCAAAGTTTGATTGTTCATTTATTTTTGCGACTTGGTGCTGCTACATTGGCTTCTACACAACTATGTAGCCTAGCATTTTACGGTCTACACCTCAAGCAGTTTTGCTTTGCTTTTAATCTTACACCTTTACCAATCCGGCCTATAACTCCTTTACGACCCACCTACTGTATTGGGTTTGCTCTTAGTGTGTGTGCACTTGATAAGATGAAACTCACTAAACCTTTTTCACATATTGTTATCAAGGCATAAAATACAAAGAAACTATGTTCACCGAATAATTATAGGGAATTCAGAATGTGCACATCGTCTAAGATGAATAATTTAGGACTCATAGAGTCAAGCTGTTTCTGGATAGAAAAGCAATAGAAGTATATATACATGATTTTTCTTGCGAGTTGCCAGTACGCAAGCAAAAGTAGATGAAAAGAATATCATTATGTTTCATATTTGGCTTGATCTTGGTTGTGAGAATTTACTAGCAATAATTGACTAAGTAAGCCTAATCATAAGAGAATAACTATGAGGATAATTATCTATGGTTGTTTGTCTTCAACGGTTTCTAGGGGGGAATTTGTCGTGTTAAAGTTGTTAAAGAATTATACTTTAACCTTTTTTTTAATAATACTTTTTCAATAGGTGAGTCTTTGTTCTTTTATCAACACTATGGTGTATAAATTATGAAACTTTGGTTTAGGTTGTAAATAATATGTTCAACTTGTCTTTCTTTTTATCTATTGTTTATATTTATCTAATACTATAGTAAATTAATAAAATTTATTTTGTTCTCTAACTTTTCAAATGTTAAATATGTGAATTTGGCTATTGGACGCAAATTAAAGGGGACGAAAAACAACAACATAATCTAGGTAACAATTTGGAGTAGGCTTGAATCACGATTGCTCTCTTCCAGCGAATTCAGGTAACTACTAGTAACCTTAAAGGCTTAAAATACAATTAATGTCTAGGAATGCATGATAAGGTAGAGTTTGAATTCATATGGCCTTATCATGATTTTTTTATTATGATGTTTACTTTTTATTGATTTTGCATTTGTAGTTTTTATTTGGGTGAGTGATTTATTTAATTAATTTATCATAATTACAAGTTAAAAAGGTTAATAATCTATGTCCTTTGTTATTGTCAATTATGCTTATCTTATAAAAATTTCAAGTGAATTCTTGGTATTCTCCCGTATTATGCATAGAATGATATACTACTAATAATGTGAGCATGTTATAGCAGTAGTTGAAGGCATGTGCAATACTCTTATATGGATTATGACTAAATGAGTTACATGTTTTAAGCCAGTTGTTAAACTTGAAAATTATTTAATATTGCTTTTTGTATTTTGATTTGTAATTTTTTTTATTAAAAAGTAAATAGAAAGTAATTTGGTGTTTCTATAGTCATGGATACCATTTGGATTGATTTATGCAATGGCGAACCTGCTTTTTACAAAGGTTGCATAAATTTTGTTAAACTTGCTAAGAAGACTCTTATTTATAGGAAAACTCGATGCCCATGTAATAAATGCAAAGTGAATGAATGGTTACCCATAGAAGAAGTAGGAGGACATATTTTGTGTAATGGTTTTTTTTAAGAAGTATAGGAATTGGGTTTTTCATTCTGCAGTTGATGAAGGGACCAATACCTTAGAAACTCCCATTAATGAAAGGTAATAGGTCAAGATGATATGGGTGGTTTGTTAAGAGAATCCTTTAGGGCTGACATTCCAGATTCTCTTTTAGAATCCCAAAACATGCAACAAGAAAAGGCTTCCTATGATGTGCACGAAATAGGAGGTTCATACGATATGCACGAAGAGTTTGATTTTCATTGTGATGTAGGTAATGTAAATCCATCTACTAACTCTAGTAAAGAAGCTGTCAAGTATTAAAGACTAATGGATGCTTCTTATGAGGGTTTATACTAGGGGTGCACTACTTTCTCAAAGTTATCGTTTCTTTTGCACTTGTTTCACCTTAAGTGTATGTTCCATTGGTCTGTTGAGTCATTCACTAAATTGCTTGAACTTTTAGTAGATGCATTTCCTTCAATCAATGAGTTTCCATCGTCTTACTATGAAGGCATGAAGATAATTAAGGACTTGGGATTAGGGTATGAGAAAATTGATGCATGTCCAAATGATTGCATGTTAAATTGGGGTGAATTTGCAGAAAAAAAAAGAGTGTCATGTTTGTCATACATCAAGGTGGAAAACTGTAAAAGGGAAGGAAGGAGATTCAAGTTAAAAAGGTAATGAATCGTGTAAAAAGGCTGAGTTAGCTAAGGTATTGCGATACTTTCCTCTTATATCTAGATTAAAAAGACTTTATATGTCATCTAAAACAGCAGAGGACATGAGATGACATTTTAGTCGAAAGGATGATAAGATTCTAAGGCACCCAGTAGATTGTGAGGCTTGGAAAAAATTTGATGAAAGATATCAAGAATTTGCCGGATCCTCGTAGTGTTAGGTTGGGTCTACCAAGTGATTTGTTTCAATCCATATCGTCTTATGAGTTCTAATTATAGTACTTGGCATGTGGTATTAATTCCATATAATTTACCACTGTGGATTTGTATGAAGCCATCATCATTCATATTGTCCTTGATTGTTCCTAGTAAGTATAGTCCTGGAATTGATATTGATGTGTATTTGCAATAATTAATCCATGAGTTAAAATTGTTATGGGATGGTGTTGATGCCTTTAATGCTTATAGTGGAAAATACTTTAAAATGCGAGCAGCCTTACACTCCACTATAAATGACTTCCCTGCATACGCTATGTTCTGGTTGGAGTACAAGAGGTTATAAAGCTTGTCCTTCATGTGCCCATTCCACTCACTCATATTATTTTGGTAATAAAATTTGCTACTCTGGACATCGAAAATGGTTGCCACTTGATCATCCTTATCGTTCTCAAGCCCATTTATTTGATGGGACACAAGAACATGATGTAGCTCCAGTTCCTACAAGTGGGAAAGACATTTAAAAGGAATAAGAAAGGATTAATTATGTATATGAAAAGTAAAAAAAAACCCTCCAATAAGAAAAGAGAAAAAAAGAAAGGTGGGATATCCATTAACGAATTTGATGAGGATTATGGTGAGAAAGACTCTAATAAAGTTCTTTAGAGAAAGAAAATTAAATTTTTTGACTTGGAATATTGGGAACACAATCTTCTAAGACATAATTTAGATGTTATGCACATTGAAAAGAACGTTTGTGACAATTTGTTAGGGACTCTTTTAGATATGGACAATGCTAGAGATGACAAGAGTGCAAGAGAGGCCCTTAAGATGTTGAATATAAAATCTCATATTTGGATTGATTCAAGTCGAAATAACTATATGCCTCCCGCATCATATAACATGTCTATAGAAGAAAAAGAACGGTTTTAAAGAGTCTTACAAAAGCTTAGAGTTTCAGATGGATATGGATCTAATTTGCAATGATGTGTGAACATGAAGCAATGAAAACTTATCAATATGAAAAGCCATGACAATTATATCCTCATGCAAGATATCCTTCCGATTTCTTTAAGAGCATCAAATGCCACAAAAGTAATTGACTTGATTGAGGAGTTGTCTGACTATTTCAAACGACTATGTTCACCAGCAATTGATACGAAGGAGTTAGATGATATTCAATCCAAGTTTGTTTTGACACTTTGTAAAATGGAACAAGAGTTTCTACCAACATTTCTCAATCATGGTTCATCTATTGATTCATTTAGTGGATGAGGTTAGACACGGTGGACCAGTTCATTACAGATGGATGTATCCCGTTGAAAGGTCAATATCTTAACTTATATTTTCAAAGCTTCGTTAAAATAAATAATATTATCATATTACCTTTTTTTTTAGAAGAATTTTTATATTCTCATTCATTTTTATATTACAAGGTACTTGGCATTTTTGAAATCTCATGTAAGTAATAAATCCCAACCTGAAGGGTCCATTGCCGAAGGGTTCCTTTTATAGGAGACAATTACATTTTGTTCGAGATATTTAGATAGTGTTACAACAATATTTAACAGAGTGAAAAGAAAAGAAGATGGTGTTATAAACAACATTTATTTATTTAATTCGAGCTGTCGTGTGGTTGGGAAACATGAAAATTTTCGTCTTGATGATAAAAGTTAAAACAAGCTCATCGCTATGCTTTGCTGCATTCAGATGACATGAAACCAATTCTTGAGTAAGTATTGCAATAAAATAATAACTTATTGTTTGTTAACTATTATTATACTATTAGTTAATATAATTTTTTCTATGTCTAAAGTGATTTCATATACCAAAAAAGACAAGAGAATCACTTTCAAGTGAACAAAACTATAGAAAATGGGTGGATAATCAATGAATTTTCTGGGTGGTTACAAAATCAGGTTACTAAATGTCAAAGTTAATTTTTATTTTTTTTATTTTTTTCACATAGGAAGTCCTAATCAGAATCAGGCTTGACGTAAGATTTATTTATTTATTTACATAGGTCCACAACATAGATGATAGTACAACAGCAGGAAAGTTCAGAAAAGCATTGGCCGGTGGTTTTAGTAATCGTTGTAAAAGGATAAAAAGTGTTATCATCAATGGTTATAAATTTGACATTGTGGATCGCGAGCGATATTGAAAGACACAAAATTATGGCATTATGTTAGAGGCAGAAGGCCAAGAGTATTATGGAAGACTCAAAGCAATATATGAATTAGATTATTATGGTTCTCATAAGGTTATAATGTTTCATTGTGATAAGGTTGACATAACAAGGGGTTTGAAAAGATACCATACTGGGAACGTTTGTGTAAATTTCTCGAAGTTGCTGCACAATGGTCGAAATTTGCATGATGATCCATTTATTTTCTCATCTCAAGCAAAAAATGTGTTTTATATCGAGGATGAGATAAGTAAAGGATGGTTACATGTTGTTAAGACTAAGCCAAGGGACTTATTTGATATGGGTGATGATGAGACTTAGTTTTGCATTTGTTGACTTTTTGTTTAACATCTTATAATTTTTTTTTTCCCGCTTCAAACATTATATTCTATGATTGTTGAAAGTATGAATAATACTTTTTTCTTTAATCTATATCAATTCTGATTGTTCTTGTACTTGAGCAATAATTATTTTGTTTTAATTATTAACATACTTCTCCACAATTTGTTTACCTTTTCTCTTTTAATTTGAATTTTATGTGATTGCCAGGTACAAGGCTATAAATAAATATAGGAATATCACTAGATCCGATTGATTGCTTGGTTAGAGGTATTATTAGAAACTTTATAGTTGATATTTGATAATCACTCTTATATTAAACTGCGGAAAGTACAATCACTCTTATACCTGCTGCTATACCTGTTTACCAGCCATCAGCTCCAACACATTTATCATATAAATTAATAATATCTTAGCTCATTACATCGAGGATTATATGAATATTAATATACTGAAAACTATTTTATTCTGTAATATATATCTGTTCTGATATACTTCTCTTCCATACTTTACAGGTGAGAGGCATTATTGATTGTCTGAGTGCTTTACTTTTTTACACATGAGCAGGAGTACAGAACTGAGCCAATTAATTGGTTCTTTTTTTTTTTGTCTTTTTTCATAGTTATGTTGAAAACTACGTCTTTTTTTGGAAATTCACTTCGTATTATTACTGGTGGATACAAATAAACTGGTGGCAGTAGTTAGTTATGCAACATCTTGTCATAGTAGTCGACTTTATGGACTTAATTTCTCTTTACCTTTTTTCCCTTTTAGGTTAGTCAAGATGAGTTATCATAGCAAAAGAACAAGGGAGGCTGGCCTTGCAGCCATAAATGTACCTTATACAGTTTCAAATAAGCCTCCAAAATTGGTATCATCACAACCACTACAAAAAGAGCCTAAAGCTTCAATACCTTCTACCTTAGTCCAAAAATCAGGGGAAGCTAATGGTAGATGGGGACCATTTACCCCACCAAACACTCAAAACCCACCTTCATTTTCCACTACTAATATGAATACACAACCTCAACCCCCAAAAAGCAATCCAATATGGAAGAAACCACTCATCAATGTACCAAGTTCTCTTAGCAAAACTAGCACTCAAGACCTCCCTTTATCTTCAACTACTAGCACAAGTAAACCTCTGCCCCAAAAAAGTAATGTTGAATGGAAGAAGCAACACAATGTACAAAATTCTCCGACCATAACTAACCCACAAGACCTATGTTAATCTTTTACTGCTATTATAAGTGCACAACCTCAACCTTAAAAAAGCATTCCTACAATGAGAAACCCAACTAATGTAAAAAACCCTCCAAGCATAACTAAGACTCACAACATCCCTTCATCTTCTACACAAAATACCTCTATCGTTCCTCAAAAAATTCCACCTCCTAAGCTATCAAAACCACCTCTATTCCCTTCTACTTCCCATACTTCTCATCAACCATTGTTACAAGAAATTCAATATTATCATACTGCACATAAGGATAAAGAGAAGCATGCATGTGATTGAGCTGCAAAAGAAAAATCTAAAATTTTCAAGCTTCGACGTCGCGCATCTCTTCCTAAATGGATTGGTGCAATTGAGTATGATGACAAGGAAGAGGTTATAACTATTGGTACATACTTATTCTTATTTATTTTACATTGATATGTTTGTGTATTGATCATGAAATCAACTGGTGTAAACACCTAAAAATGTCTCCCCAAAACCAAACCCTATGATGAATAACCTTTCACCTCCATTACTAGTCGGTTTGAGTATTAAATATTTGGATTGCTTAAATCCATGTTTCCATTTCATAAACCAATCCATTTCCTAGCTCATTTCCCTAAACCATAACTTATTTTCCTCTTTTTGTATCCACATCACAAAACCGAGAGAAAATGATTTTATGGACCTATAATTTGGATCCAATTATTATTTAATTGGGTAGGCCTTGAAATAATCTTTCCAACCATATATCATCAGCCTAATTCCGATTTAAAACGAAGAAGATATGAGCCAAACACTAAACTCGGCCCAAAACCAACACCCTTCTACTAAAACGGCCGTATCTTAAAGTATACAAATTATTTTGACCTTTTTTTAATTGGGTTGTAAATTAGACTTGATAAGCTTTCCAATGATATATTATTTGCCTTATACGAAGTTACAGACCAAAAGTTATGATAATTTTTAAAACGTGTTAAAAACTGGAATTATCGCGCATTAAGCAAAATTGCCATGTCATGGCGCCTGGTAATGTGACACGGTATTCTTCACACGTCACGGTGCTTTCCCGTGAAAATCCACCATGGCACGGTACATGTTGCCGTGACACGGTACATGTTTCCGTGTATTTTCCGCGCTTTCTCACGCTCTGTTTTACCGTGACACGGTGTACTGTACCGTGCCACGGTAGACACTGTCGTGTCACGGTACGTGTGCTGTGTCACAAAATTTTCTCATGTTTTCTCTACGTAAACCCTTCACGCGTTTTTTCTTTTGTAGCTTATTTTCTTTCCCGCGTTTTTTCTCCAGTTTTCCCCACATCACACTAATTTCCCCCATGTCACGACAATCTTTGCCCTGTCGCGGCATTATTTTTTAGTGTTTTTTTTTTATCTTTTTTAGGGTTCCGTGTGATCCCCTACTCATTGCCTCTATAAATACCCCCTCCTTTCTATAGTTCAGGGCACCAAATCATTCTCCCTTCTCTCTTTTACACCAATTATTTTTCTCCTCTCTTTTATGATCTAGCGTAAAAACTAGCCTACCTTATTCTTTCAAAATTCCTTCCTTAAGCACTCTAAGGAGTCCTTACTTTACTCGAGGTTCTGTCCTTAAACCAAGGCGTGAAAGGTAGAACTATTTGAGGGTTTGACCCCAAATCAATTCTATTTAATTTAATTTAATTTAATTTAATTTAATTTAATTGTTGTTTTATTAAATCTCATTGAAGTTACTAACTCATTTATTGTTTTGTAGTAGCAAGCAAACAAAATCAAAGTAAGAATTATGTTCCTTTCAATTCTATTATTTTTCTAACGATTTTATATTGTTAGATTTATTGTTAAATTGCTTCCAATATTAACGTTTATTCTATTGTTATTTATGATCACCATATTGCATGTTTAAAGGGATTATGTAATTGAAAATCATGCCTAATAAGATAATTTGGACAACCGGTTTAGGTTCCTTTTTAATCTTGTTGTTAAGTAAAGTGATCACTAATATTTTAGAATTGTGTGTTGCATTAATATTCAACCAATTTAGTATAATAATAGATTGGAGCGAATTGAATCTTTGTTTGCATGTCTTTGAGATCACAAGAATCACTTTTCACTATAAGAATCGAGTAGAGGCCAATACAGGCGAATGTGACTCCAAGACTCACTACGTACCATCATCCCCGATCCTCCTTTCGTGGTTCCGAGCCATATGGAGTTAGTAATCTCATGGATTATGAATGGGATGTAATCTTCACGGGTCAATCGTTGTTACCTTTCGTTGTCCCTTAATCGTGGTTGCCTTTTATGATCCGTGAACAATTTACAAGTTCCTTAAAAACTTTGTTGGCGGCTCCCTACTTTCCTTGTCCCTAATCGTGTCCCTAATCATATGTCAATTCCCACTTCCTATGAGTACCAAGCATATTCACAACATGCTTAACGTAGGAGCACTTCGAATGACGCATACAACTGGTAAAATTTAAATTTTCTAAAAATCGTAGACTGGCAGCCTTATTTCTAATATAGCAACACTATGTGTCACCATGTTGTTACATTGCTCTCTTCCACTAATTGTCATGCTAAGCTAGGATCATTATTCGTGAATGCGCCCTATTTTTAGTGTTCTTACATTTTATATGTTGTGTTTTTGATACAATCACTATTTGGTTATGTTTTTCCATAGATGCTGATGGTAAGAAGGAAGCGATTAATTAGTGGACCAATTCGGCAAATTGAGGTTTGGAATAACAATGGTGTTAAATATGTTGTGTGCATTTCAATGATTTTTGCCAACCAATTTGGAAAGGTGGGCATGTATTGGTCCAATTCCTTGGTAGCATTGCAAAGGAAGAGCAATACTGCCCACTTTCAGAGAATACTTGGCTTAAGTTGGACGCCTCTTTTAAGAGGGACATCAGTAAATCAATAATGGTATATATTCCATTTGTCACTTAGTTAAAATTTGTGTTACATATCATTTACATTTGTTCATGGAATTATGTTTTATTAAGGACCGCTTTGTGATCCCCGATGAGGAGAAGTATTACATCCAAGCTCTACAGCGTGTTGATAAAGTTTGGAGGAATTATAAACATGATCTTAAGAAACGATACTTTAAAACCAGATGAGAATTCAATAACAGAAATTGTTGATAAACCCCCAAATGGAGTAACAAGAGTAATTGATTTAATTTGGTTAACTACTGGAATTCAGAGAGAGGGAAAGTAAGTTTTTATTATATGAATAATGTTACAGCTATCGCAATGAAATCATATATTATGTTTCATTTTTCTCTATTATAAATTTTGAAAGTTGTATGAATTATTGCAGGAATTGTCTTAAATCAGAAAAGAGGCAAGAGCATCTCTAAACCAAATTCATAATTCTGGTGGTACAAGCTTTGCAAATAGACGTGCTGATTATGTATGATTGATTTACCCATTGATTACAAATATAATGCATAGTGATGCATGAAATTGTGGTTGGCATTTTTTGAAAACAATTCAATATGTAACCTATATATCTCTATTAAATGTAATTTATAGGAAGATGAGCACGGAGAAGAAATGAGCCTATATGAACTGTGGCAAAAATGTTATAGAAGAAAGGATGGAACTTTTTACAAAGGCACATACACAGAAGATTTCCTAGTATTAGTTCTTTTTGGTTGTTTATCTTCTAATTTTAGATAAATTTACTCTAACATATACATGTGTTATATATGTTGTGAAGGAAGATGTTAAGGCTAAGGCTGAAAGCTTAAAGCTTACATACCTTGATGGTTCAAAGGTCGCGTATTAAAATAGAGAATGAAGCTTTTGAGGCTACACTATATGGTGGACAGAAACATGAAAAACCACAAGGCTTCGGTTTTGGAGTTCGAAGTGGAGACATTTATGGGGTGCGTGGTGCACTTAGAAAAGAAGGGATTGGAAAAGGAACAAGAGTTGTGGAAATGGACAACATGTCATTGGAGGTATCAAGTTTAAAAGAAGAAAATAAGGAGCTTCATGAGTAAAATGAAGAGATAAAAGGAAAGTGTGATGAGAATACAAAGCTACTTAAGACAATGGCAACACTATTTTCTCAAGTTTTAGAATCCTTTCGTAGTGGAGAAGGTTCATCACAACTTCTAGATACAGCATAACTAGCCTTGCGTATGGCTAACCCTTAGGTTATATGGTTAAATAATTCCTCACTCCCTTCCTTGTTTATTTGGCTATGGCAATCAACATATATTAATTTTGACTTTGGTAATAGAGTTTTGGTTAACCTAAATTGTTGTTGATGCTAATGTATAATTTTTTCAGTGAAGAACTCAGTAAAAAAAGTACAGCAGGGGGTAGTAGTATAAGCAAGGGACAATGATCAGTGGTTGGAATGATGGAATATAGTAGTTGGAATGATGGAAATTTCCTGATAACACAGCATAAGGATAAACAATTCAGTAAGTACAGGACTCAGACCTTCAACAAGGAAACTGACTATGTAAATGGGGGGAGTACCTTGCAATATACAACATTAATAGATTAATATACTCCATCTGTAGTAAATAGGCATGCATATAAATACATATGCAATTGTCTTGTAAGATCTCAATATGTAACCTTGAAATAACATGTTTTGCTGCTTCATTAACTATGCTCAAGAGATTTATAAGCCTGCATTATCAAGGGAAAAATAAAGAACAATCAGGTCTTGTTTGGATATCTAGGTAAGTATATCTAGCAGAATTTAGCACAAAAACTAGAAATCACTCCTCTATTAAAAACTGGCAGGATCATCAAAGGCCTTGTTTGGATTTCACATCTGTCATGTATTTTGACTAGATGCACCTGCCGCACTATACATTTTACACATAGCTATTATCATGAAATGGTTTTCTACATTATACATAAAAGATCGGCCACATAAAAATAATAGGGAAGAACAGGAGCTAGGCCAGGGCCAGGGCCATTACTATAAGGAAAGTAACCAACAACTTATGACTGCTAAAAGAGACAATAGAAACAAAAAATTTCAAGGGTATAATATCATAATAACACTGACCTGGCTATAATTTCAAGTAGTTGTTTATGCCACTAGATTCTGTTTAATTATTTATGTTGTGTTGTCATTTAGTTGGGTGTTGCATGTTGTTTCTGATCTGTTCATATTTTTGTAAGGATATAATAACCAGTATGCATTCCCCACAGATGGGTCCTTATCTGGAAAAATCTCTGGATATCATTTATTTTGGCACGATGCTTTACTTTATCTGGGTTCTGTATTCCAATGGATCAAGTTGTAATTGAAATAAACAGAGTAGGTTAGAAGCTTTTCTCTTAAACCTAAAGAGGTTCGTCTTGCTTTTATGCTTTGTGGCTTTGTGCAATTGAGTTGGTAATAGCCGCTTATGACCCGTTATTTTAAGGCCTTTTATTTTCCTTTATGTTTTAGTTTGCTGGGATGAGATAAGTTTGTTTTGTGTATTAATTACCTACAATTTGTGTTAATATCAATTTTAGGTTTCTAATGACTTCGTAGATCATGGTGGCGGAAGATTTGAATAATCAAGAGATGCGTATTAGCTCGTTCAACTATTGACTCAATCACGAACGAAACTTGTAATTATAATTATTAGTGTTAGTTTTGAAGGTTTTTTTTGGTGATTTACTAATTAGATTTAATAGGTTGAAATAAGACCAGCTACACCCTGGCCCCTATTTTATCTTTATGGTTTTCTTTTGGATTTTATTTAGATATTATTACTTAGATAAGCTTTACATCAAATAAGTTATGGTGTAATAAGTTTAATTTTGATTATATGCACGTATTTTGATGTATTATTGTAGTTATTATTATTATTATTATTATTATTATTATTATTATTATTATTATTATTATTATTATTACATCCCGCTTTGACGTATAATATTATTAATTTGATTTTCTAGTTTGCACATTTAAATTATAGCCCCTTAGTCCTAAGAAAACTAGAAATGAAAATGCTCCCACTTGAACCATCATGGATCTATATCCACCTTGCTCCTTTGGGCCTTCACTTCACGGGCTTCTTTAGACTAAATTATTTAAATAACGAATCTATTTACTTTAAATAAAAGTTACAAAAATACTTAACGGTTCGCAAACCGTATTTAGATTACAAAAATACACCACGATGCCAGATCCTATTTAGAATCTATAGGTCATACTAGTCTATATATAACAATATAATATCATATATTATATAAAATGCCATATAATAAATCACTCAACATGCTTGTCTAAACTACAACATCGAATGTTCATAATTAAGACAACACATTTTCTAAAATATCTCATATTTTAAATCACAATTAGAAAATATCGTATATTATTCATGACCAATTATAAAATATCATATATTTTAATTTAGGCATACGATAGAATCAAATCATATTTTAATCTAGAACGATAAATCATATTTAATCTTCCATGAATATCCTAACAGCTTTAGGAGATTCTATCCTAATTACTAGCCAATCAAATAATTTTGGAATCAATTATATCCCAATCTAATTATGGGATAATTATATTATTTAAATCAATTATTATCCTTTTGAAATATGCTCAAAATATCCTAACAAATCTTATCCAATATAAACTACTTTAATTACGGATAATCACCAAAATTAACAAACTAAATATGGATAATATCAAATATAACTTTTGAATAATTGATTTTATCCTAAAACAAAATATTTTATCTCAAATCAAAGATTATATTTCAAAATTTTTATTTTATCCTGAAACATTTTTAAAACAAAAATAATTTTTTTAAAAATTGAGCCACCACCGCCGGCCACCGTGGTTGGCTAGCCATAGATAGCCACGGTGACTGGCTGCCTATTTCATTTAGCAGCCACTACCGTAAGGGCAGCAGCATGGTAGCAGCTACTGCTGGGCTGCAGGCCACTTTGAGCGGCCAACCCTGGCTAGCCACGGTGGCTGGCTACTTTGCAGTAGGCACTACTGCGCAAGGCAGCAGCAGCAACCTTGATGTAGCCGTGGCAGCCGCTGTGCAATTCTTGGACGCTGCTGTCACGGCCACTCGGACCTCCGCCCTCCCCTTCCCCTCCCTCTTGGACCGCCACCTGGTTGGCAGCCGCTGTGGCTGCGCCACCCAACCGCGGCTGCCGGCCTTAAATATCAATTTTTTTTTGTGTTATAAATATAATTAAAATAACTTTTATTAAAATTAAATTAAATCAGCCCAAATTTTAAAATTAAATCTCATTTGACTTTAAAATTAGGGTTTACCATAAAATTAATCCCTATTTAATTCTAACTCTTAAAATTATATCGATGGTCATACACAAAATAATTTTATGTATGAATCCATCCGATCAAAATTATGAAACATAAAACAATTCGAATTAAATCAAAATCAAGCGCAAAAATAATATTTTAGGGCTATGATTTTTTTTAAAAAAAAAATCAAAAATTAGGGTGTAGGGTTCGAAATTTTCAAATGAACTAGGGCATAAATCGGACCTCTTCATGGCTCTTTTGAGCATAATTAATCATATTCAATCAATTCCACAAGTTTATTCACATTCAATATAATAATTGAACCATAATTAAATTAATTTCTCCCTTTTAATTGATTATAAAATTAAGAACATGGACTTCAAATAATCATATTACTATCACCAAGCGTGTTCATTCAAGAGGCAAACTGATACTACTTTAGGAGTTTATAGGTACTATATATAAAGCGAAAAACATGAATCATATTCATACAACACCTAATCCCAAGATCGCATGCATAACAAACAAGACACATAATCATACCTTTGAAGCGTGAATTCCCCGTAGCTATTGGATAGGCAAATCAGGGAGAGAATAGAGCCCCAAGCGTTGCTCCTCTACTTAGTCCACGGGATTCGAACGAGCCATCAACCAATACTAGATTGGTCGAGTAGATCTTCTACTTAAATCTCAGTTGTTTATTTTATTTCTTTCATCATGACTTGTTTAATTGCTTTGTTTAGTTTAAATTTAATTATGTCTGAGTAGTTTTCTTTCTAGGGTTTATGGGAATCTGATATGTCTATTTTATATAGTATTTTACCCTCGTCCCTTGGTCATAATTAGTAATGTTTTTGGCTCTTTAGAGCCACTTTTATTACTAATTGGTGTTTTCTAGTGTTTTTGTAGATTTGGTTGACTTTTGCAGGGATTTACACTTTTGGAGCATTTTCCCGAGATATTATGGAGCAACTACGAGCGTTGGAGAAGCACGACCAGTTTCTATAGCCCAGGGTCGGTTAGAGCCATCGAACCGGTGATTAAGGGCTCGGTATATGTGATACCGGGGCATTTAGACCAAGTATCCAAGACCAGAAGAGGAAATCCAGATTGGCCCGAAGAATTGAAGCCCAATCAAAGTCTAAATAGTAACCCAAGAGAGCCGCCCGGCCAAAGAGGCTGGCGCCCGGAGGCGCGCTCGACCGGGCGAGGGAAGTAAGGTTGGCGCCCGAACTCGCCCCGGCCGGGCGCGAGAAGTGTATTTGAAGGAAAAAGGCGCTCCCGATCGGGCGGTGCCTCGCCCGATCGGGCGCATGTTATTATTAGGGGTTAATTATCGATGTTTAAGTTTGTTTTAGTTTAGGATTCTCGTTTAGTATAAATACTTTTCCGTTAAGCGAGTTTAATATCTTCTTTTACTCTCTCTTAATTCTTTCTTAGATTTTCTCTCTCTACTTAGATCTTAGATTAGTTTCTCTCTCTTATACTTTGTTCTTAACTCTATTCTTAATTCCTGATTTCATTGGCAACGATTTCTCTTCTCTTAATCTTAGTTATTTATTTTATTCCTTTGATCATGTTTTGTTTTATTACTTTGATTTGTTTAGATTTAATTATGTGTGAGTAGTTTTATTTCTAGGGTTTATGGGGATCCATAAATAATATGAAGGGGTAATTTATTGTTGTTAATTGTCAATGCTAGATTAATTTCCTATTGATTGATTTAATGCTCTGTGACTAGATTTGCGTAGATCTTTTATGCATGAGTTTGACAACATTGATTCGAGATTCGAAAGATGAGAATTGATGTTTAGGTTTAGTTTCAATAGGCAGGTTTATTTATAAATAGTTAAGTCGAGATTCGAGAGATGAGATTTAATACCGGTAAATTAATTGTGTGATTGTAATACGTAGCGAAAGCCCTTTATAATTGATTAATTTATGCATTGATAATTGATTATTATGTTTTTACCCTGGAATATTAT